GGTCAGCAATCATGACCATCTGATTCATTTCAGAGGCATCCACTTACGTGCTACACCACCACACACACCAGGGTCAGCAATCATCACCATCTGATCCATTTCAGAGGCATCCACTTACATCCTATACCATTACACACGCGAAGGTCAGCGGGTTTTATTAGGCCATAGCCCATTCGCATACCTCCAACGTATGATTAACGTAAGAGGGACCTTCCGATACTTAGCTAAAACATACTTTCTATTTATTGTGTTAGATCGAAAACCTGACGCCTTAGCAACAGCAGCGTAATATGGATCTTACCTCAAAATTGTCATGAATCCAGGAAGGGCGTTCTCTAGACGCACATGCCCCCATTTTGAACACCGGACTCTACTGAACTTTATAAGCTCAAGTGTAATGGGAAATCTGGCCGGGTTTGGATCTCTCTGCTTACGAGGTAAAATTGGGCACCATTACAATTAAGCATCGAGGAGAAAGCAAAAGGCGGGGTTATGCCCGCAGATGGATGGACGGATGGAACTTATTTCACCCGGAGGCACGAAGCCTAAAGGGCCTTGGCGCGCTAACTACATCCGATTCGTTGACATTCGGTCATCAACTTGTCCAGGCCTCTACTCTTTTCTTTTTTTCTCACGCCACCTGTTGCCAAAAGCTATCTGATGGATTCGTCAGACCCTCTACGTCAACCCAACTCTATATCGACGAAGTCGAGAACAGACAGCTCATATTGAGCCCCGATCAGGCCGACCTTCCGCCGACAGCAAGCCCGACCCTGGATCACATGCTTACCTTCCTCTACATAGCGTACTCCATGATGGGGCTGCTCTACGAGTAATTCCTACCTTCAAGAACACATGCAGGCGATTGTGTACTCTCCATGCACAAGTGGAGAGTACGCATCGTGGTTGGGTAAATGCCGCCATTGGAGGCGGTGTCAAAGGTTCTTAGCCGCTTCGGAAGGCTCGCAGACAGTTCTTCATCTTGGTAAGTCCATATCATACTAGATGCTCTTGATGAGTGCACTACCAGAGCCGAACTGCTCGACTGGATGAAAACGCTGGTTGGGCCTGATCTGAAACAAGTTCACCTCGTCGTGACAAGCAGGCGAGAAGAGGAGCTCGAATCCTGTCTTGGTGGATGGATTCATACCGACAACAGAATGCCGATAGACATGGATTCTGTCAACGAGTATATCCGCTCTTATGTCAAAGCGAGGCGGTCAGCTGGTTGTAAGTGATGGGGCATGTCTCGCCATTCTCTGACGGCGTGGCTAGCAGGAAGCCCAGGATCAGTGCGATGATCTCGGTCGGCATGTTGTCGAAGGGGGGGCGATGCGGGGAGGCGACTGCCATGGCGGCGTCGTGATGAGAATTGTAGAGACTCCGAGCCTCTCGCGAGGACCGAAGACCGACGGCCAGCTGTAATTGTTTGTCTAGGTCCTTTTTGGTGGGTATTTTGCCGGAAATCCCTTGTTTAACATCACGCTTATCCTTCGTAATCTGGTCCAAAACATGGCATCCCGGAATCTCGCGCGGAACCGAGGTAGAGATGGCGCCGTCGCTAGCACCGTCGTTTGACTGGAGTACTAATTTCTAAGTCATTGTGCGCAAACGCTGATAAGATCAAATGTTCGCCAAAACGGGAATCGCGGGCCATGTTGTCAGTATCAGCAATCTAGAGTTTTCAGCCCCCCAGGGTTGTGATGTCGCCATTGCTTTGGCTTCGCCAGGTGCCAAGGCGCACGTTTCCCCAACTCAGAACCGTGGAGGCGCCCTTTCCTTGGGGTACCCGCGCGCATCTTGGGACTCCTCAGCTCATCCCCTTCTTCTTTCCATACATCCTCCACAAAATCCATAACCTGACTATACCCCAACTCAGGATACGTAACCTGTGGCGGGCCGTACAATAGCCCAGGAGTCCTGACGGGCTCCTGGGCCCTGAATCAAGCAATTATAAGATACGTCAGACAGTGAAGGACAGTTCACCGCCTTCCTAATTAGCCTACGACAGTATCAGTCTTCCCACCCATCGCCTAGCACACCGCCTACTTACGTAAGTTAGCTACATATCCAAGCTCTGTTTGCTCCAA